ACAGTGTCCCTCCACACAACACAGTGTCCCTCCACACAACACAGTGTCCTAGCATTGAGCACAGTGTCCCTCCACACAACACAGCCTCCCAGCACGGAACACAGTGTCCCTCCACAAAACACAGTGTCCCAGCACTGAGCACAGTGTCCCTCCACACAACAAAGTGTCCCAGCCCTGAACACAGTGTCCCTCCACACATCAAAGTGTCCCAGCCCTAAACACAGAGTCCCTCCACACAACACAGCCTCCCATTACATGAACACAGTGTCCTTCCGCACAACACAGTGTCCCAGCCCTGAACACAGTGTCCCTCCACACAACAGAGTCCCTCTACACAACACTGAGCTCCAGCACTGAACATAGTCCCTTCACACAACAATCCCTGCATGTCACCCCTCTGTGCAGATACATGTCCACCCACCCATAGCCTCCTCTGCTCCTGAATCAGTTTTCTCAAGACCATCATTTACTTCAATGCTTCACACCCCGTCAATGCACCCCCACCCCCAACTCTCCTCCACATAAGTATCACTGTACTTTTCTGTTGCACTAGCGTCTGCTGCAACAGTGAGCTCAGGTGAACTCAGGATACAGAGGGGGCAGCTGAATGGTATCACATGGAAAATGCAAGAAGCTGTCTCTCCGCTCTCCCTCCTGTCTGTGTGCTCTCCTGCCTATCTGTCTCTGCTCTCCCTCCTGTCTGTCCGCTCTCCCTCCTGTCTGTCTCTGCTCTCCCTCCTGTCTCTCCGCTCTCCCTCCTGTCTGTCCGCTCTCCCTCCTGTCTGTCTGCTCTCCCTCCTGTCTCTCCGCTCTCCCTCCTGTCTCTCTGCTCTCCAGTCTGTCTCTGGTTCTCACTCCTATCTACTTTGGCTCTCCTGCCGGTCTCCCTCGGTTCTCCCTCCTCTCTCTCTCTTCTCTCCTACCTATCTGTTTTAGCTGTCCCTCCTGTCTCTCTCTCCCTCCTGCCTGTCTCCCTCGGCTCTCCCTCCTGTTTCTCTCAGCTCTCCAGCTCAACTCTCCCGCATGCATCTCTTAGCTCTCCCTCCTGTCTCTCTCTGCTCTCCCACCTGTCTCTCTCGGCTCTCCCTCCTGTCTCTCTCAGCTCTCCCACCTGTCTCTCTCAGCTCTCCCACCTGTCTCTCTTAGCTCTCCCTCCTGTCTCTCTTAACTCTCCCAACTGTCTCTCTTAGCTCTCCCTCCTGTCTCTCTTAGCTCTCCCTCCTGTCTCTCTTAGCTCTCCCACCTGTCTCTCTTAGCTCTCCCTCCTGTCTCTCTTAGCTCTCCCTCCTGTCTCTCTCAGCTCTCCCTCCTGTCTCTCTCGGCTCTCCCTCCTGTCTCTCTCGGCTCTCCCACCTGTCTCTCTCGGCTCTCCCACCTGTCTCTCTCGGCTCTCCCACCTGTCTGTCTCGGCTCTCCCTCCTGTCTGTCTCGGCTCTCCCACCTGTCTCTCTCGGCTCTCCCACTCAGTTCTTCTGCCTGTCTCTCTCGGTTCTCCCACTAGGCTCCTCCGGCTGTCTCTCTCCGCTCTCTCTCTCTCTCTCTCTCTGCTCTCAGATTCTGTTGCCTGTCCCTCTCGGCTCTCCTGCTTGGCTCCTCCGGCTGTCTCTCTCTGTGCTCTCTCTCTCTCCACTCTTAGACTCTCCCGCCTGTCTCTCTCCGCTCTCTCTCTCTCCGCTTTCAGCTTCTCCTCATCCACATGCAGATTACAGGCTCTGTTAACTCGCTTGATAGCCACCCTGTTGAAGCGCTGCAGTCTCAAAAGGGTGGGGGGGGGTGAGGACTACGTAAGGATGCAAGGCGAGTTCGGGAGGGGGGGAAAAAATGAAACTTACCAGTTTTAGGCGATCTCCACAGGATAGTACGGATAGGACATATTCCGCTGGTGCGTGCAGTGTGCCTCAGTTAGCGCAATCGCCCCGGACTTGCAGCCCACACATGCAAGAGCGCAGGGTGCATCTCTCTCTCTCTCTCTTTCTCTCTCTCCCTCTCTCTCTCACTGTCTCTCTCTCTCTGTCTTGTTCTTTCGCTCTGGAGAAAAACTCCTCTCTGCCTTCAGGTCCAGTCTCCCAGTTCTGCTGAGTGCCGTGGCGATGTGCCAGAGTCGCACGGCTAGGAGGATGGAGCAGTGTTATCCTCTGCTTCCTCCTCCACCGCCTCCTCCTCCACCGCCCCTCCTCCTCCTAAACTGCCGCCGCCTCCTCCACCGCCCTCCTCCTCCACCGCCTCCTCCTCCACCGCCCCTCCTCCTCCTAAACTGCCGCCGCCTCCTCCACCGCCCTCCTCCTCCACCGCCTCCTCCTCCTCCTCCTCCTGCTCCTCCTGCTGCTGCTTCTCTCTATGGCAGACAGCGCTGCGTCACTTGCACACTGACACGGCGCTGTCTGCTCTGCTCGCAAACAAAAAAAATAACCTAACAACGCCCCACCCCCCTCTCCTCGACAAGAGCCAATTACCACCCAGATCTGCGGCAAAAGCCTCACAGATGCCTGCGCCAGATTGGCTGGTCAGGACTGTCTATCAAATGATACTGTCCCTCTATTCCAGAAGCATTAACGGAACAAAAATAAAGAGGGGAAGGAGAGAATACCTTTTTAGACTAGGACTAGTGTCGAATTAAGTGATTCTGAAGCTTGTTCAAGGAATATAACTGCATTCTGCGCAGTAAAATGTTAAAATGTTCTGACAGGAAGTTAGCCAGTGATAGGCTGTTAGCCTGTGTCTGTCTAACACTGTACTGTAAGGACATCAACTTGTTGTCTGTGCTACACTTTTGTTTTTCTCCATTAAAGATAAAAATCTGGAGGACTGTGTTTTATGGAGCTCAGTGTTTTTTCAGCTGTCAGACCACATTCAGACATTTTGCTGTTACTTGTAACTTGCTTTGCATCTCTACCCTAACCCAACCTAATCCAGGTTATGGAGACATTGACACTCAAGGTGCTTTTGAAGGGAAAACAGCAGAAGTGTAGTTTAGGCTTAATTCACATTGCCGGTTCTCAATGGAGAATGATTATCAGTCTGTGGGCCCTCTTAGTCAGGAACCCCCTGATCTTTGTAACATTTTAACGTACTAACTAGTTTTTCCTTTAAACCAGTTAGGTAACATGTATGGCTTATTCGAAAGAGGAAGTGTCCGGATTCGACCCAGAAATCATCTTGACAAGCTGGAATGAGCAAATGATTCCAATGAGGGTGCAACATGTCACAAGCACCAGAGGAGAGAACAGGCTGCGTGTGAGGGAGGATATTTGGACGTAGTGTCTACTGCTGTCCCACACTCACAGTTTGTGCTGTAGTGGATCATTTCTTGTTGTCGCTGGTCTTATCCGCACCAAGCAGTAGTGGTGTGAGCGGGATGTTGGCGTGCAACAGCCTGGAAGTGTACCATGAACAAAGGAGAGGCTCAGTCAAGCCCGCCGTTTCTGACGAAGAAACACAAACAGTTAAGGACACTATTGTCTACCCTCGGCATGTATAAAGCTGGTCCCGTTCTGCTCGTAAGGCTCTGTTTTACATTCTGCTGCTTAGCCAGGGAGCTGGACATTTTCACCAAAACAAATCTGATTATGTAATCTGCTCAAGAATGTACTCAAATCTACAAGGCTTTGGTTAGCAAAATGCTGTACAGTATGGGAAACCCTGGAACACTGGTCAATACGTCAACAAAGGCTCCGTCATGAGATCTGGTGTAAATTTATAGCTCCTATTATGTGGCCACTTGTAAAGACGACATGATTTATTTGGCAGTAATTAGGGTGAAATAGGATGATGTCCGAGGGCTTGTGTCTACACTGTCTCCTGGTATGTTCACTTAGTTTGGAACGTTGAGTTCTTAGTAGTGCCCTTGTCAAAGATCCTGTGTTTTGCAGAGATAAGCTCCGTGTTTAACCCTTCCCTGTGGGTCACATGTAGAGACTCCCATCAGTCTTGTAAGCATCTGCTGCATGCTGGGTGCAGAAACAAGAGAAAAGGTCAAAGTAACAACATCTCATGATGTTCAGAAGGCCTCTCTCGTCCTCGAGGATGGAGGCATGCACTGCGGGGGTCAGGCCAGTAGTTTTCCATCTTGCTACGCTCTCATTAGCCTGCCACTGTGGAACACTGACACTTGGGTCCTGAGCTGATAGCCCCCCCAGAGTTAGTGCATTTGGGTTGCTTGTGGGATGGTCACACCGTAATTTTGGTATAAGACCAAGGTCTCTACTGTTTTAGCCTCGACTGAAAGAAACAACAGTTGCACAGAATTCCATGTAAAACAGTGCCCCCCCCCCCCCAAGTGACAGGCATGTCACATGATGGAGAATCAGACAGGCGAGTGGGACCTACCTTGGTGTCCATCTAGCTTGAGGGGGACTTGAGCAGTAAGATGGAGGCTGACGAGATATCAGGAGGGTCAAAACTGGGCAATAGCTTCAGGGACTGAGCGCCTCCTAGTTCCCAAGGGCTCCTGTTAGGTTTAATTTTCTGATGTCCGGCCCCCCAACAATGCTGCTTATGACCAGCATCCCCAAAGTCCGAACACAGGTTGAGATGTTACTATGGAACGTTTGAATCACTTGGCACAGTGACTGTGGATCTCACACCATATGTACCTCTCTGAAAGCCAAATCGCACGTTAAATATAACCGGATACCACATATTCAAGAAAACAATGGTTGTGTCCCCAAAAACAGATATATATATAATTTCAGTCACTATGGAAACAAAAGGAACAAAGATGCAGGCTTAAGATTCACAGTTGCTAGAAAGTACAAGTCCACAAGCTCTGGCTGCACACTTCCTGGTCCAGGGGTGTTACACTCTGCTGTCTACACCCTGCTGTCTATACCCTGCTGTCTACACCCTGCTGTCTACACCCTGCTGTCTATACCCTGCTGTCTGTACCCTGCTGTCTGTACCCTGCAGTCTACACCCTGCTGTCTACACCCTGCTGTCTACACCCTGCTGTCTACACCCTGCTGTCTGTACCCTGCTGTCTATACCCTGCTGTCTACACTCTGCTGTCTACATCCTGCTGTCTACACCCTGCTGTCTGTACCCTGCTGTCTGTACCCTGCTGTCTACACCCTGCTGTCTACACCCTGCTGTCTGTACCCTGCTGTCTGTACCCTGCTGTCTATACCCTGCTGTCTACACTCTGCTGTCTACACCCTGCTGTCTGCACCCTGCTGTCTGCACCCTGCTGTCTATACCCTGCTGTCTATACCCTGCTGTCTGTACCCTGCTGTCTACACCCTGCTGTCTACACTCTGCTGTCTACACCCTGCTGTCTACACCCTGCTGTCTATACCCTGCTGTCTGTACCCTGCTGTCTGTACCCTGCTGTCTACACTCTGCTGTCTACACTCTGCTGTCTATACCCTGCTGTCTGTACCCTGCTGTCTACACCCTGCTGTCTACACCCTGCTGTCTACACCCTGCTGTCTCACGGGGACCATGTCCTCTTCACGCAGAAGAGACAGATCATCAGTGTGCTGCTCAATTCTGTGTTCCTCCCCTCACGGGTAATTCCAGGATTTGACCCTTAGGGGGGCTGGGCCCCATGAATAAATGCAGGACACCACCACCCCCGCTCCCCCACAAAAACATTCACCTAAATAAGGTCTAGATATTGCCTGTGCATACTCTTATTTTGGGGTCACAGGTGGGGGGTGATCACAGCATAGCATTCGCATGTTAGCTCCAGCCCCTGCATCCCATGCTGCTATGGCTGGGAAACCCTATGCGGCATATCAGCATTGACACAGGCGGAGCGCAGATGCGTTCGCCCAGCTGTGCTGTTCAAACAGGGCCCAGCTGTGTCCAGGAAAGGCGACCCCTGGTGCCCATCCCCGAGTCCCCAGCCACTGCAGAGAGGCTTATCTGGCTGATCCAGGGTAGCGAGCCTCAGCCTCAGAGCGCAGCCATCAGAAACACAGAAATGTCAGGAGAGAGGAGGCCCTCCCAGGAGGTCGACGTCTCCTCCACTCCCTTCCGCAGGCGACGGCGGCCATCGCAGGAGCGAGCGGAGCGTTGGCGGAGCCCCCCGCCTTCACAGCCCCCATCTCCCGCTGGGGACGCTTTTCATATGCTGTAATGTTGTTTCTTATCACATGTTCGGCTTGGTTCCCAAATTACACCATTTTCAGCACCTAGATAGGTCCAGTGCCGGCGAATGTAGGTCCTGAGGCTGCGTGGCGTCTGGCGGAAACGCCGGCAGTAAACACAACAGTCTGGGCTCCTTACCGTGGGAGCCACATTGATTCATTGTTTAGTTTGTCCTCAGGATGTCTAATGCCGCCAGATAGATATCCCATGTGATTATTTGACAATGATGGAGATTGTTTGTTTGGTCAGGGGTGTCCCTGCACGGCTGGGCTCCGTCCCAGCTACTCTCACATTGTTGGTTGGGGTAAAATAAGCCAGCGGCCCTGTTATGGTGCATGACACTAGAACTCCACTAGGACCAGAATTGCATGAGGTCAGAGGCCCCAGCTATAGTCCTGGTGGATTCAGAGCATCTTCTGACACAATTTACTGCTAAAACTCAGGGCAAGGTCATTTACTGTAAGAAATTATGAGCTGGGTGTAAGTTTTCTGTGGGTTGGGGAGGGGCAGCCTCTGAGCCGGGCCTCCCCAAGTATGGAAAATCACAGCAGGTCAAACTGTGGTCACCAAGCACAGCCGCATGAACAGGGACGGCACCAAGATGGCAGCATATTTAGGCTCCTTCTGCAGAAGCGCTTGACGCCTGACTGTACCGCAGTAGCCCTGTGCAGTAGCAACCCACTTAGCAGAAAGAGAGCCGAACGCTGACTAACGCGGCGGAGCAGTAGGTGTGCTTTCCGCGTTCCCATGTGGTCAAGCGTGTGAATACAAACAGATGTCTGAGGGCAGGAGTCTCACCATGAGTGAGCTGCTATTCTCCTCCTCCTCATTCTGATAGCAGCTCAGATCCCTCTCTCAGTGTATGCTGAAACTGCACTCGTTAATACGTCTACATCGCCCTAAGAAAATTATCTGCACTAAGCACATAATTATATTTATGTTCATAAGTTAATTATATTCATTGTCCTTGATTGTTTTGCACGATGTCCCAAAGTAAATTTCTCGTATGTAAAAGCACTTGGCGATAAATGAACAATTCTGGCCTCATCACCAGCACTGTTTGGCATGGGTTTGGTTCATGTGTGAAGTTCCCACTAGGTGTATTAATAAGACAGACTAGTATATTACATCGGTCACAGGGACAAATGTCGTGTCGACAGATGGCAGAGTTATGAAGTACAAGAGAACACGCTTTGTAGAAAGGACTGCAGGTGTGTTAAATCTGTGTGGCATCCTGTCCAAACGTTGAGCTTCTGAACACTGGTTGAACCAAATGCTTCAGTGGTGCACACCTGTTTCCTTCGTTGGAGGGAGATTAGAAAGACAATGCTGGGTTAAAGCATAGACTGAATTATCTAAACGGGACTCCTAAGCCCTGCCTGCAGTATCAAACCAATCACCTGCTGGAGCAGTATGGCTCACTTATTTGAAGACTGTCGCTCCATGCAGAAAAACACCCACCTGTCCCCTGCAAACAGGGCTCCAAGAATCAGTCAAATCTGCGCATCTGTACTTAAGCTGTTTCTTAGTGAGACGACAATTAGTCATGCAATATGAAAGGATTCATTATCGCACTTAACTCATTAATAGCAGTAATAAGCACCTGGACACAGGCAGAATGCAACACACGATGTATGAATGGGGACGCTGGCGAAATGGCAGTTTAATAGGGCAAGAAAAGAGAAAGTTATGGGGAGGTTCCCGGCCCAAAGCTCACTGTGATGCGTCTGTTGTCTTTCCATTTTCCCGGGGGGGGACAGATAGGACAGCTTCACAGGCCTGCGTGAGCGGCGATCCCTACCGCTCTCATATATGGACAGTCCGTCACGGAAAACATCTACCTGTGTACTGCTGTCCGTCTCCAGGAACAAAACTAACTAGAGCTTTTTGGACCTGGAATTTTTAAACCTACACGTTTTATTTTATTTTTTCCCCTGTGGCGCCTTAACTGTTTTACAACAGATATATATCAAAGAATATGTTTAGATTAAGTAAAGGGGGCTACTGTCTGCCGTCAAGTCTATTTCTCCATCACCCCCCTGTTTTATTGGTGCACTACGCCTCACGCAAGCCGACATCCTGCTGTCTCTCCATCCACATTAAAACACGTGCCTGTCATATAGCAGAGACCCCTGGGTGGCTTTTAATAATGCACCGGCCCCGCAGGATGCCGTCAAGCTCTCAGCGTCTAAAGATGGCGTCCACAGGTGGCATGTGGCACCGCCTAATATGATGCGGGGAGAGGTGCGAGGAGGTAGCGAAGAGACCTCCTAGATGTGAACAGGAGGGCTGCTTGGAGGGGTCAGAAAGCGCCCCCGCCTTCAGGAGGGGTACAGTCTAGTTTTTACCGTCAGAGACAGGTTCATTGTTTCAGTGCTGGGGTCCTGGGGGCTGCCTTATGGCATGGCAGAGGAGGGGTGTGAGTCGAATAGCCACACTGCATACCCAGCGGACCCGTAGGTGACAGGTGTCTGACCCGCACTCAGTTCTGCTGTAGAGATCCTGCCAGAATCCCTCCAGTGCGGATGCCGCATGGCATAGAGTTCAGCCGCGGCCTGACCTGTGATTCTTTACGTGTGGCAGGGATGGGTTCACAAAGCACAAGGGCACACTCGAAATATACTGTAGGGGCAGTACACTCGAAATATACTGTAAGGGCAGTCAGACATAAAACAAAGGGAATTCAGGCAGGCCGGAGCCAATCAGCATGACCACTTTCATGAGTGAAGACCAGCACCATGTTCATCTAGATCATTGAGCATGAAAGCTGATCTATCGATTATGCCCGAATGTGTCTGGATCTGGATCTCACAGCGGCTGCTTGCTCTCCTTCCATAATTCTACTTATATATTCCTGTCTCCCCCCCCACTGAGCGTCTTGGTGTAATAATTTCTGCTGCGTCGAAAATTGAGTCGCCCAGACGAGTCACTTCTGTCTGACGGCACTTAAAAGGAAATCAGCCTTAAGTACCTGCCGCTGTCGCATGAGGTGGGAAGCTGAGAGAGGCAGAGGAGGAGCAGAGGAGGAGCAGGTCAGCTGGGCCGCCTTCCGGAGCTGCTTGGGGGGGTCCTCCCGGATGAAGCAGCTGTGTATGTGCTGTGGAGAGCTTTGGCCCCCTGCAGGCAGTTCACCAGGTCACTGTCTAAATGTCTTTGCAGAGGACGTTTGTCAGCCGACAGTCAGGCTGATATATAATATATGCAGTTAAATGCTGTTGCATTTCCTGTACATCAGTGTTTCCCAACCCAGTCCTCGGGGAACCCCGGACAGTCCACGTTTTTGCTTCCTCTCAGCTCCCAGCGCACCTGTACCAGGTATTCGGTGTTCCTGATTGGCTGGGAGCTGGGAGGGAGCAGAAACGTGGATACTCCGAGGACTGGGTTGGGAAACCCTGCTGTGCATGATTCAAGTAAGAATTTCCCGATAATTTAATTGCAAATTTTTCTGACGACAGAGAGCTGTTAACAAACGCACCTTTGGTCTTGGTTTGGCCCGTCTCCGCAGACGGATCTCATGGGGGTGAATGACAGCTCTGCGTGGGGAGGCTTTGGTCTCCTGCCCAGGTACCAGAGAGATAAACTAACATTCCGGTGGTAACGATGGAGACCTGAAGAACAAATGATGTGTCTGGTTCGATCCGACCAGGACTCCATTGAACGTCCGTGAACTTCAGTGAAAACCTTCAGGGCGTAAGGCACTCCTTGGTCTGACAAAGAAAGAGGAGGGCGGGACCCACAGGACTTAGTGACGGTCAGTGAGGCTCCTGGCCCAAAAAACGTAATAAGCAGGAATAGGCAGCATTGCTGTCATTTTCTGAGCTCCCTCCCTGGACTCCTGCAGCCTCCCACAAAGCTGCATCAGTTTGCTGCTCCCATAGTCCAACAAGTAGAGCCTTGTGCTAACTATGCTAAAGTTATGGGTTTCAATCTTAGAGAGCAGACATAAAGTGTAACCATTCCCGCTATTGTAAATCGCTTTAGATAAAAGCATCAGATAAATGTAAATGTACAGCAAAGCCATTTTAAATTTGTTTTTCCAGTTCCAGTTTTATTTCTGTTCTGTTTTCATTTATTTTCTTTCAGGTTTAACGGCTTTGGTCATTTTTGATGGTTTTTTCCCCATTTCCCCATACACGTGTGTCAGGGCTTCAGTGGATTTCACTCACACCACTTGTGGGTTGTGGGTTTAAATCCCCCGTCTTCACTGTGTGTGGAGCGTTCATACAGCCTCCCAGTGTCATGCAGGGGTCCTCCCTGTGAAAACACTTGCAATTGGCCATAATGTCCCTTCCCTCTCTCCTGCTTCATTTTCACAGTGATTTTATTTTGTTTTAAAGGCAATTGTTTGGTTTTTCTGTTCTAGCAGTGCAAATCAACAGGCTGGTCGGGCTGTTTCAGCACAGTGGTATGCACTGTCCTTTGCTTTATGCGCCAAATAGGTGGTTCTGTCCTGTTTCGCTGCTTATCTAAGTATCCCTGTAAGGCGCCGAGGAGGCTGTTTCACACGAGGACCGTGGTGAAGCGCACACACGTCTAAGCTGGCGCCTTATCTGGGTCGACGTGAACTTGAGTGAGGTCAACAGCAGTATTGAGGGGGTGGGAGTTGGGACAGAATTTGTTTGATAGGCATTTCGTATTCTGTCACGCAGAGATTAATCCCATTAGTAAACATTGGAGAGATCAGCTTTGTTTTCCAGAAAGGGAACATGATTGTAATCAGTGCTAATCAGATGAGAGGCTTTGGAGCATCTAGCTCAATACTGCTTGCACCACCCAAGGATATGTGCTCCACGTCGGAGCGGGTCTGAGGGGTCAGTCTCTTCCCTCTCTCCGGTGGGCCGACACAGCCACAGTGACATGGTGGCCCTGTCCCCTTTGCACCACCACACACACTTACCAGATCACATTGGAGGCCATCCATGATGCGAAGGTACTTGGTGCCTTTCACCCGCAGTGCTTATCTTCTGCTGCTCCTCAACAGTCCTCGCTGGTGCTCTATGTAGATTTACATGCTTTGTTCAAAGTTTGGGATCAGAAAGCATCAAACATCCTTGGAGCACATGGGGCTAAGGGTCTTGCTCAAGCGCCTAATGGTGACATGATTACTCTGCTGGCTGTGGGATTTGAATCCACAACCTTCTGGACACAGGCACCAACCCATAACCTTTTCCAGAAAGCAGGGTCAGTCACTCTCTGGAGCAGTTCGGGGTTAAAGCTCTTGTTCAAGGACCCATTGGTGACATCACTCTGTGGACCTTCTCGTATAACTGTATTGCATGCAGTACATCATCTTGAAGCTTGGAGGCAAAAAAACCCCCTTGCATCGATCCATCTTCCCCTAACTGTTTGTCAAATACAGGGTTTTAGTCAGTTTGGGGTCTATCCCAAGAAGCACTGGACAGAGGGCCAGGGACACCCTAGACAGGATGGTCTTGCCTTACTTATGACATCAGAGCATATTTGTTTCAATATGCTGTTCTCTTTCCAGGTCTCCAAAGAATCCCCAACAGAAGATCATCAAGAGGGTGATTGGCCTGGAGGGAGACCTTGTAAAGTAAGCTCTGCTTTCACCGCTGCAGAGATTCAGTTGCTTCTGACGTTGTAGGCGATGTATGTTCGAACACAGTAACAGGGGGATTGCAACACTTGTTGCTGTTTTACTTCAGTTACATAATTGTCTTTTTACTTGAATTTTTTTTTTTAACATTCTCTGAATCCCCGATCTGATATGAGTGAAAAGGACATGGTCCATCCATCCATCCATCATCTTCCGCTTGTCCGGGGTTCGGGTCGCGGGGGTAGCAGCTTCAGTAGAGGCACCCAGGCCTCCCTCTCCCCAGCTAACCCCACCAGCTCCTCGGGGGGGACACCGAGGCGTTCCCAGGCCAGCCGAGAGATATAATCCCTCCAGCATGTCCTGGGTCTGCCCCGGGGCCTCCTCCCTGTAGGACAGGCATGGAAAACCTCCCTGGGTACCCGCCCAGGAGGCATCCG